TGAGGTGTAATAAGCTCTTCCTATAAACAGGGGCGTCTGTCAACCTGTTGGGCCCTCTGCAACGGGACCCTGGTCCCAGCAGTAAAGTCACGGACGTTGAACCTTTTCTCAGCACACACACACACACACTGCCCTGACTGTAGGCTGACACTGTTATAAACAAAATCCAAGCTGCAAAAGATCACAGTCAGGGAAAGGTAGAACTTGAAAGAATATCAAGTGCAAAATTAGGATAAAGCAGTGTCACATCTACTTTCTCTCTCTCTCTCTAAACACAGAGATATAAACAATGCCATGGGCTAGTCCCAGTTTTCAGTACTATTGTGGATACCTTAAAATAGAATGCTATGTGTATACTTGGCTACACAGATCTGACACTCAGTGATAGTTTTTTGAAAATTTGCAAAAAGAATACAATAATACCAAAAACTGTATGGAAGGTACAGTACTTAAATACCAAATATCCATTCTACCCACAGTCTTCTAAATAACAAACCTGCTCATTCAGTTTATTATTTTTACTTGTATGTTTTTGAGAATTTTTTGCACTACTTATTATACTTCAGTTTTTACCATAAACTATACAATAGTAATCTATTTGTATGTATAGATTAGTATAATTCAAAGCAATGTATGTATCATTTAAACAATAATTAATTGATTTTAATAACTTTTTATAGTTTAGAGAATTCCATATATTCATGGATGTATGCCACGTATATTAATCATTATACATTATTGTGAAGTTCTGAAATACAATGCTGCCTTCCCTGCCTCCATAGATACATTCTTACAGTTTTTGCACATTATATTTGATATCTGTAATAGTAATTACAAATTTAAACAGTGCTGGAGCTCACTTCAAAAAGGATGCAAATCACAGATAGATTGCTGCTATCTGTGATCATATAGGTAAATTCCCAGCAATTTAGTGCAAACAATCTTAAGATGCACATACCACATTCTTTGGACATTGCTGTCCAAATTATTTTATTTTCCTGATCTATAGATGAAGTCATGTATGTGATATGTTTACAGCATAGTCATCGTTCTGCCTTGTCTCAGAATTACGTGTCACATTATTAGCTGGCATTGGAAGTAATTATAGATTGTTTGCATAACTACATTTAGGCACCTTCTATTTTTTTCCTGTCTAGAAAAAACCCCAATGTATTGCTTAGCAGTCTTGTTTAAAGTTTTATTTCTTTGTCCATGAGGGTAATGTTTTCATCATGGAAGCTCTTATGGACTTCAATGGGATCACTGTGTATGCAACTGAAGGACGAAATCATAATGAAACTTATGGGTTGATTATAATTTTACACCCAGATGCTTTGTCAGGATACTGCTTCCATTGGGCATTTGTATTCTGCATGTAAAGCTAAAAGTCAGTCATAGGTGGAATGAAGTTTTCAAAAGCTAATTAGGAAACTAGATGTGTAGCACAGTTCCTGCTAAGGTGCGCGCCTGCGCAGCTGTGCATAAAAAAATCCTCCGCTCACCCACCTCCTTTGTAGAGCTGCACAGCAGCACTCACTTTCCTACCGGATGGTGAGTGGTGCGGTGGGTTCCTGCTCTGGTGCATGGCAGACAGCTGCCTTGGTGTGCTGCAGCTGGAGCCAGGGCTGCAGCGAGGCTATTCCTATTGGGGTGGCCTCACTGTGGCCCCAGTTCCAGCTCTGGCAGCCGCTATGCAGCCTGGCTGGTGGGGCCACATGGAGGGCGGCTGCTCTGGTGGCTGGACCAGGGCACATGGAGGGCGGCTGCTTTGGGGGCCGGGCTGGGGCATGTAGAGGGTGGCTGCTCCAGAGGCATTGTGTAGGCTGCTTCATTACCTAACAAGACAGGCTACATTGCTGGGTAGTTCTTAGCCCCTCTGAAATGCAGAGGAGCAGGGGAAAGCAGGGAGGACCACAGCAAAACCCCACAAAAGGAGGCGCACAAGTGTAGAGGAGAGGGCATGAGAAAGGAGGAGGAGCAGGAAGAGTGGCACGCAGAAGATGAGAGCAGTGCAGAAAAAGGGGGCTGCAAATGTAAGGTGCAAAGCATCAAGCTGAGGCACTGTGGGGAGACCAGAGAGAGCGTAAGACGGAGGTGTGTGAAAGGTTGCTGGAAGGGATCTGATTTATTGAGGCAGTAGGCAGAAATTGGAAAGACTGTCTGAGTCTTACATTTACTTAATTTCTTTAACCCTGGTGAAACCAGAGGTGGTCACAAATGTCTCCATTTTACTTCTGCAAGTGCTTCACAAATAGAGAGAGTCCAAAGAGAAAAGTGCCTTTATGTACTGTGTGAAGAAGGTAATACTGGACACCATGTCATGGCCTGACTTGAGGTGGAGGGACAACAGTTAGCAGCTGTAGGCACAGTGATTTAGACAACAAATGGAATACCACATTTTTAGCCAGGGGCGGATGAGAGCTTTGTGGGGCCCAGGGCAGCATAATTTCCAGGGCTTCCCTTTGGAGAAAAAATAGAAAAAAGGCATCAAATGCGCAAATTGAAGGCTATTTTCATATTAAATGTGAATTTGGTATATTTGATAGAAAAACTTAATTTAGTTGGATCATTTTTATTTTAATTATAAGTCATTCTTAAACAAAATTCTGCATTAATAATTAAAAATTTTCATTTGTATTTAAGTCTCCTCTCCCGCCTGCCTCATTCTCTCTTTTTCTCCTCCTCCTCCTGCCTCACTCTCTCCTTCTCTTCTCCTCCTGCCTCACTCTCTCTTTCTCTTTTCCTTAGTCCTCCCTCTCCTGCCTCTCACTCACAGAGCCCAAATGGCCGTTTGGGCCCTGCGCAGCGTCCCGGCTGAGAGGCAAGGAACTCAACCAAGCACCATGGCGGGAGGCGAAGGGGGGCGGGGCAGGGCAATGATGTACACAGCCATGGGGCGGGGCCTGGATGAGCATGCATGCCCGACAGAGAGGAGGCGGAGAAGAGCAGAGGAGACAAGAAGAGAGGAGACTGAGAGGAGGCGGAGGAGAGTGGAGAGAGAGTGTGAGGCAGGAGGGGAAGAAGAGAAAGAGAGAGACAGAGAGAGAGGCAGGAGCTGGAGGAGAGCTCAGTATTTTAAACATTTTGCTAATGATCATTAGGGGAAGTTGTCATGAGGCTCAGAGGCTGATCTGGGAGTATGGCCAGGTATGAAAGGGCAGTATAGAAGAGCAGGAGAAGCAGGGCTTGGCCGAGCAAGCACTGGAAAAAAGTGCTGCAACCCTTTAATCAAGTATAACAGCATGTCATACATACAGGGCTAACTGATAAGATTTTCTAGAGAATATTTCTCAATATCCTTCTGATTAAAATTTTAGATAGAAATAAAAAAGTTATTTTCTGTTTGACAGTTTCTTGACAAGTGAATGGAAAATGAACTATTAGCACAGGCAATAACAATAGAGAATACTAGTACTCTAAATTCAGTTAACTGGTAAACTAAAAATCAGTTACAAATACAATATATACACTTTGAAAGTTAAATGGTGCAAGACTGTCATCACTGAGACACTCTCCTGGGATAGGGTAGTTAGAATTTGCAGGGTGTGCCGACTGAACCGTAGCAGTGCTTTGATTGAATGCAGAGGCAGCGCAAGGCTCTCATGGTCAATGTTGTGTGCAATGAACATGCAACTCACTTCACGTGTCCTTGCTTTACATATTTGTCACTTTAGTAATATCGGTAGGAAATAGCCTCCATGGATGGAAACCAGCAGAATCTGACAATCCTGGTCAGTGGCAATGGTAAACAAAATGTCTCATGCTGTAGTAAGTTGAGGATAAAGGACCTTTCAGGAACCCATTGGGATGACCCCGAATCCTGACTGATGACATGGTCCACATATAGAACCCTGCTGGACCGCAGGCTACCCACCACTGGACTAGCAATGCCCCACTGGGCCTAGCTACATTTTGAAAATGTAGTTAATTTTATTAGCTAGATGGCAATATTTTTGAATTGTTAGAGTAACACTAAATAGATTTTTTGACCCATTAGCACAAACAATTACAACTAAGCACAAGAATCACTAATCAGTATCTGGGTACATTGCTATTTGTCTCAGCAGAAGTGGTACTTCACAAAGTACAGATTTGCAACTGTCATAACCAGAAAGTAGCAGGCATTAGGAGCAGTAACTGAAAACTTGAAACTGAAATTTTTATTTGCAAGAAATATTAATAGTATCAAAGTTCAATCAGTTGTAGGAGATTAAGTCATTAATGAGAGTTAGAGTATTAAGTTCTAGGAGGTAACAATGTATGTTTTCGTTTGTGGCCGGTCAGGTTCTGCCAACCTTGAGAACAGCAGCAGTTGCTCTTTTCCAAGGAAAATATTCCTGCCACCATTTATTACTGGTGTTGTGTAGCAGTGCAACACAGGTCTTTAAGAAAAACAGCTTATTGTACAGACTTTGCAGGTATGTATGGTGGGGTGATGCCTTTTTTACCTTATGTGTAATTGATGGCATGATACAGTACATTGGCACTTAGGGTCCATCATAATAGTAAGGATGCTTGGGTGAAAGTTCTGATTTAGTAGTTTTTTGTATTCTTTGTGACTGGGAAAGGGCTGTTTTAGTATTCTTTCTTTTTAAATGATCATTTTCAAATGATATTTGTTAGTAATTGGGTAACTGGTGGGTGCCGCAGTGGCACACACCCGAACAAGAGCACGTGACCTCAACATTGGTGCACAAGACAAAACTCACTCCATTCCTAGATGGAAAATCTTAGAGGGAACACTGGTGTGTAGGGTGAGTTAATTAACTGCAAGGGACACTGTTTTTAAACAAGGAATTTTTTTCAGAGCAGTGTGGTATATATAGAAAGTGATTGGGTTAAATAATTTAGTAAAATTTTTTAACCAATCCCCTGGGAAAAATGTGTATGTATTACAGTAATTTTCAGATAACATATGTAAAATTTTATGTAAAATTAATGAAAAATAAGCTAAAATTAATAAGACAACAAAAGGCAGTTAAATAAATAGATGCACAAACCTTCCGAATGATTGATAGTTGCATCAACTAATTTACATTTTTCATTGCATTTTCTCTGTGACTGGACATCAGAAGCCAAATGACATTCTATGCAGCTCCTGTGAAAAATAATTGAAAATCTCATCAATCTCTCTCTATTCCAAGCACAAATGTACAGGGGAATATATATGCTGTCTTTTTAAAAAGAAGCCAACAAAAGGTCTTGTGCTATAGATACAGTAGTTCTCAGAAATGTGATATGTATTGCCTCAAGAAAACCCTGAATAAAGGTACTGTCGTTCTCTCTTGCCCTCTTTCTAAGTTCTTGTTAATCACCAGACAGAACCCCAGGCAACATTATTCATGTAGTCTGCTAAAGAAATGGGGTTACTCATACATACCATTCATTTTAAAGATAAAGGTTCTAACTTAAGCTTACACTAAATAATAGTCAGGAGAATGTCTAAATGGACTAATATTTTATATAGACTTCAATGTGAGCAGGATGAGAAACTAATATAGATCTCCCCATGTTTAAAATCTCTTAATGTGTTATATTTACCAAGGGACTAAAAAATATGTGCAAATGCCTTAACAGATGTCTCTCAAATATGATTCGCTTGTCTCACGAGCTACTAACTTAATTGAGTGAATGCAAGTTAATTGGCAAAGTAACTTCAAAATATTTGATTCACATGTACAATGATTGGAATATTTAAAAACAAACTGAGGGCCCGATCCAACTATCACAGAAATCAATAGAAATTCTACCAGTGATTCAGTGGGAGCTGGAGCTGCTAGTGGAATAAAGAAAATACATAAATGAAGTGTGCATAAAACAAGCGGTTACAAAATATACTTCTAGGTTTAAAGCATTAACTGGATTCAGGGGCTAAGACTCTGAGAAAAACAACTCTGTAGGACTGACTATCTGTATTGAATTACATACCTCCATGAGAATAATGTGGAGGTTACTGCAATGGTTTTCATGAGATGGGGTGACCTTATCACTCACAAGTGAAGCAGTGAAAAGAATACATGAGTGGGTAATGGGATAGTCCTTATCAAATGTAGATACATTCAGTGTTGTTGGTGTTTTTGTTATATTTACCATGTTTTTCAAAGCACTGCTCTCACTTTCTCAGCTCCCTAGCTGTGTCTCAGTCCCCTCTGACCTCATCTCTTAACTTAGCCATGTCTTCCACATTTTCTCTCTTTTGGCTTTTCCAACCATAGGTTGCAGTTGCCATGGCAGTGACAGAGAAAGAGGAGAGAGGGAAAAGGTCTGACAAATGAATGATGTGGAATATATTTTTAATATGCTATCTCAATACCCATGAGATAACTACATTTCTCCTAAGAGTCTGCCAAATAAGAATATAATTAGATCAATACATTTTCAGCATAATGTACTCAAGAACTATGATTACTCAAAATATTATGTACTTAGCCTATGCATCTGAGTCTTGAACAAACTTTATTGACCTTTATGGACCAGATCCCTTAGTTGTACAGAGCCATGGTGGTATGTAACACATCATGGAACCAGTTCCTTTCTCATTAACAATCATATATTGAGAATAAGACAATGGAATGCCAAAGGAATAAACACAGTGTGAGAGAAGAAGCAGGCCTCAGGTATAAACCAATGTAAGTTGCAGATGTGCAATACTTTAATTTTACTTGCACTAATTCAGCACTCTGCGAACGTGTATATGAACTTCACACTAATTCAGTATTCTATGGAGATCAATTCAAGCACCCTGTCTAATTGAGCAGTTGTGCCTATTTATATGAGATCTAAATTTAGCCTTCGTAGATCTGGAGCTACAGCAGGCATACAATGTGTGTATTTCAAGGGTTTGTTTTTCTAACCACTTTTTAAGTGCCTTTATTTTTATATATTTCAATAAAGGCAAAATCAGTCCCTCTTTGCCACTTACAGTCAGTCTCAGATTAGCTTATACCTGATGCATAACGTACATGACTGTTTTTATCTCCACTGAACCCACCCAGGCACTCCTATGACAGCTGCACCTGTTTAATTCACACTGCCTCTAGCTGAATTTGGTATTTGAGTTGCTATACATATGTAAATTTAGTGTAGCTTCTGAGAGTAGTAGAACTTGGCTGTATGAATCCATAGACATAAATAAATTAACACAGTCATGTTGCAAACTTTATTATATGTTCCTTCCTGTGGTGTTGTTCTTCAGTTCCATGAACAGATGTCAGTATTGCTCAGCTGAATTCATTGTTGGGTTTGTTTGTATAAGCAAGTGGCAGAAGTAAAAATGTGCCAGCTGAACCTCAGGGAAGTATTTTCCCTGAAGTTCATTTTGAGATCTATCTGAGAAATGTTTGCTTTCTGCATTATGAGGAGACTGCCCAGAAGTAGCAGAGAAGTCCTTAGGTTCTGAGATCAACACTCAGGAAAAATATGGTGGGACTAGTGCCCCAGATCTATTACAATACTGTACAAATCTGAATGAAGCGGAGAATACAAACATAGTAAAAACAGCACCTTACCGTTTGGAACTACATGGATCACCACATGTAGGGCATCTTTCACATGTGCTACCCGAGACCCCGGGATTTGTGCAAACACATGTTCCACAAATACATTCACCTCTTCCACTGCACAGCATTCCGTCCTCAGAAACACAGGCGCTAACATCACTTGTGCAGTTACAGTATTCACCAGTCCATCCCTTGTGGCATACACATTCACCACAGTCACAGTCACCATTACCTGGAAAAGTAATGGTTATACTGCCAGATTAGTGGTATCATTTAAAAGTGACAGAAGAAGTCATTACAAGCATTCTATTTCAGAATGCACATTTTTACTTCTACCAGCACCTCTCATTAAAAAAACAAAAAACAAAAAACTCCACCCTTTTCAATGTATAGTTAAATGTAAAGTCCATATTCACATTTCACTTAAACCAGTGCAACTTTATTCACCTCAATGGCATCACTGCAGGCATATGTGCTTGGGAGATAAGACTTTATCCTCACAGGCCCAACTGTCCTTTCTCTGACACTGGATTAACTTCAGTCTTTCTGATTCACTACTGTGCTACTCCAGATTGATGCTATTCCCTTTATTTGTAATGGATTTACTCTGGATTTATAACACCATAGCAGACAGAATTCAACCCACAATAAGAATATAAATATGAAAGATCTGATTTTATTTCACTGACTCTGGTGTAAATCAGGAGCAATTCCACTTATATCGTTGATGTTACTGGTATAAAAGCAGTGAGAGATCTGACCCCAGCTGAAAGTGATTAAATACAGAGGGCATACTTGGACAAACATCAAGCAGAGAAAGTGTACGGTTTTGGGGACAGATCTGGAAATGACAAAATGACACACACCATGGAGTAGCCAAGTGGCTGGTGGTTAAGGTATTCACATGGAACTGGGAGACACAGAGACTTGCTGCTATTGCCTCCTGATTAAGGTACTCAACTGGAATGCAGGTGAGCAACAAGGTTGGACTCCCATATCCCAGGTCAGTGACTTAACCATTGGGCTAGGGAGTATTCTGGAGTGTGAAGCTATCTCTTGCTGTCATTTTTTCCCAGAAATGTTTGAAAGGTCCTGGTTTCATGCCAAAGTGGAATGAAATGTCAAAACCCAGACATTTTTGCAAAGCAGAATTCTTGTGTTCCAGCCAATCCTTATAACGCAGGTATTTGCAAATTGCAAATCTGGGACTATACTTATAATGAAGGTTACATCTACACCAAAAGTTATAATATAGATTTTAACAATAGTTTTAGAGGGACATACCTCCACATTGCAATCCCTTAAACCTCACACAAGAGAAATTGTCACATTCACAGTATGGCCCATAAATACTTCCATGCACGGAGAAATGGCAAATACATTGCCCACAGTAACAATCGCCTCGCCCACTGCAGGAGCTCTGCTCTGGAGACCCTTTACAGGAATTTGTGCTCAGGGAATTTTCATTACATTCACAGTAAGGACCCATGTAGCCAGGGTTGCAGGCACACACTCCACACTCAAAAGAGCCATTTCCTTTACTGCATTTAGAACTGTTCATCTCAGCCTCCTTCTGACAGTTACAGCTGCATTCCAGCTGAATATCAATTTCCAGGGCATCACTCAGGCCCATAGGCTTTACTACAATTTGCCTTTGCCTTTTCTCACAGGTAGGTAGGCTCACTGTCATGTTGAAAGAGACCTAGAAAAGAAAATATATTAACTAGTCCTGGTGGCAACATACAAAATGCAAAGAATACTCTGGAAATATAATGCTCAGCAAAGAAGAAAGAATTTATTATCTATTGCCTAATAACTCTCAATTTGTTTAGAAGAGATTTACTAAATAAAGGAAGCAAGATTCCTGTTGTGATGTTCTAAAAAAATCTCTCCATTTTACAGGCGTGAATGTCTCTTGAGAATCTGTTGTCTACTTACTGTGTCTCCCACTTTTATATGGGAACACTTCCTCTGGTGTGGAAAAATGGTACCATTGTTACATATTGCGGTGAAAGAGAGATTGACTCCTTCTGTGTCTCCTAACACCTCCAGCTCCACTTCAGATCGCAGCTCCTTAAAGAAAAGGAACACGATGGATGGGAATGGTTGCTAATAATGCACATTTTTGTGATGTATATTGGAAATAACCTTTTCTACACAGTAATGAATTCAGAATTTTGATACTCTTATGTACCTGCTTCTGTCTTGCAAGGAACACTGAAAATGAACAAAGGAAGAAAGTGCAGACAGCATTGGTCTTTAGGCTAAAATCAACTGCTGTATCAGCTGAATTTCTGATACCAGAGCAATTATATGCTGCACTTGTAAGGGAATGGTCTTATTTCTCTAATAAGTCTCCTTTCATTTCTCAGCACTCTTCTCTTTTTCTGTAGGCTTTAATTTAGCTTGGCCTTCCTTATTGAGGAATGACTCTGATCACATTGCTAGCACTGTAGCTTTCCTTGTTTAGCATGTAACCTTACAGGGTTTCTCAGACATGACACCCTCGACTTCAGATTTGTCTGAGAATGGCCTTAGTAAAAGACTCCAGCTTTTAGCCCTATTTTTCCAGTGCCAGAGTGGCCATAATTCTCTGGCTCTGGCTTACTCCACTGTGGAAATCCTAAGTCTCTTCTTCTTCCTGCTTTCCTCTGTTTCCCAGATGGAAACTCTTTCAGTTCCTGAGCTTTTGCTTGGATTTCAAAATGGATTCAGTAATGCCAGAAATCATGCTGTTACTGCTTAAGGGAGAGAGACTTTTTATGTTGCTCCCTGCACTCCCTCACACTCTGCTTTTTGGGTTTCATTCTTAAATGGTTTTGTATTACACTTTTGACAATACATTGAGAATTGATGCAAAGCTCACTGAAGACTGGGGTGAGATGGGCTCCTGTGGATTGTAATGGGCTTACAAATTCAATCAATAGCGTACATCAACCAAAACTGAGATTGTAACCCTTTTGATGAGAAATGTTCATAACTGATTAGTAGATTTAGGAACACAAGTCCCACTGACTTGCAGTGGAATTTGAGTTAAGGACCTTAGGTGCTTTTGAAAATATCTATTTCTTAATTTCCCTGGCTTCAGAGGCGCAGCCGAGTTAGTCTGTAACAGGAAAAATTTTAAAAACAACAACAGACTAGTAGCACCTTAAAGACTAACAAAACATGTACATGGTATCATGAGCTTTCATGGGCACAACCCACTTCTTCAGATGAATGGAGCGTTAGAAGTCCAGATCCAAGAATAAATAAAGGAAGGAGTGAGGGGGGATTAAAGGGGAAAAAAGGAGGGGAGGAAGAAGAAAGAGAGACAGTGAGTAGATAAGCTACAGAGGAGTAGCCAAGTTAGTCTATAATAGGAAAAACTTAAACAATAAATAGTCTAGTACAAGGGTGGCCAATCTGAGGCTTGCAAGCCGAAAAAAATTGCTGTTCCTGATAGAAGCGGAATGGAACCCAGAACCACTCAGGTCAGCCATTCTCATGGCCTGTGCCGTTCCATTCATGGCCCCCAGTGCACTGCGTCATATCCTGCACGTGCAGGCTGGGTTCCACACAGCATCCCAGCCTGCACATGCTAGCAGCCGGCAGCTGAGCGCAGGGAGCGGCTCCGGCAGCAGCTCTGGGACCTGAGCACAAGTTTGGGGGGAGAGGGGAGATGCCTGGCTCTGGAGGAGGAGAAGGGTA